TGATTATATGCTTTTTTCTTTATTCAAAACTTTGAACATGTTCATGAACTTTGAACCTAAGTTCAATAAGAACACTAATCACATGTCATGCACAAAATTACGATCATTAATAATATTAATGATTGTGTATGAAAATTATAATCGTTAAGAATCTTAACGATTATACACATTAGTGCACAGAAATTAAGATTAATATATAGATATAATACTATGCACAATAGTACACAGACTTCAATTTTTCATGTGATAACATGTATTAAATTTTTTGGATGATCAGTTTCTGTGCAGTGATTATAAAACCCGTGCTTACCCATATAAAATTTTGTATTTATGCATGCATTTTCGTGTATCAAGTTTTCATGGGCTAAAACCAAAAAAACCAAAAAACTAAACCGAATATGAGATTGTTGCCCCTAATAATAAATAATGAAACAGGTGAAGATTGTAAAAGTGAAATCGAAAAGAATTTTAAAAAGATACCAACCAGACATTCAATTATTATTAAAAATCGTCAAAAATAGGAAATTCTAAAGAGATATTTTTCGCTTCTGTACCAACTTCAGGTCATACCTGTATTATAATAATTACAGTCTGTGAGTATGGAAATTAATTTACAAAAGCATATCATTTTCTAAGAAAGGTGCATAGCTAGTTCCTCTTTACTGGAAAGGAACTAGCAAACCTTAGAATCCACCTCTTATATTAAAATTAACTCCCACAACAAGGTGTGCACATATCCATTTCTCATCCTCTAATCCTTTGTTGCCATCATATTTGTTGTCCTCTTCCTCTGCTAATCCTTTGTTGCCGTCATATTTGTTGTCCTTGTCATTTTTGTTGTCTTGTCATTCTTACCAGCTATCATCTCGCATCATGTACACACACATACTTTCTCATTAGTAAAGTGAAAATTACTAACCTGTAATTAATGACATTAAAATTCCAGTCATTTCTGTACCAAGAATGGTTAATGTCAATCAAAAAGAGGGGACCAACAATGCATACGATCAAATGTGTAAATCGATCGATATATTTGTTGAGATTAGCAGATCGAGTGCATATTCATATTGAATATAAGCAATAGATCGAGTGCAGTAGTATATTTCACATACACAATAGAAGAATATTTAGTATACAAATGTAGCATCTATTATATGTACATTTAATAAATAAATATTCATCCGGCAAAATCCACACTTCTTTTAAATGGAGTTATTTTCGCTTCGTCATATTTGGTGATGACTTGAGATTCGATCCACCGATTCGAAGAAGAAACCAAATTAGAGAGAAGTCAAATAAGAATTAAAAAAAAATAAATAAATAAATAAAGAAATAAGAGTAAAAACTTACTAAGGAAATAATCGAAAAACAGTCAAGCCGCAAGAGTACACTGCAAACGAAAAAAAAAACCAATGCATCGGCAAGACAAAAGAAAAGCGAAAGTAACTCATGATAAATGTGCTTATCTGAACATTTCAAGAAATTTCAAAAAAAAAACGATTATTGTTAGTGTAGAGGATACACAGTGTAAATTCAAAAATTTTACGGATACTTTCCTGAGTTATCGCCCAGCATAAAACGTCCGGCAAACGAAAGAAAGCCAAAGTCTCACAACGTTATTTGGTTTCAAAGGAAATAAAATATTATTGGATCGATTAGCTTAAAAAGGTGCAAAATTACTCAAATTACCGATAAATTACTTATTACATAGCTCAATTGTAATCTGTGAATTAAAATTAGCGTGACAATAGATCGACGCATAGACTCAAATTGAAAATATTTTACCTTTTCTTTCCAAAAATCTTTTTTCTATTTACACTAGTTTCTTACTTAATATAAACCGAACTTATACTGCATTGATAGCCCCTAGTAATCAAAAAAAAAGAAGTATCAAGGAAAGCCTACCTGAAAACCAAAGCAAAATGAACCATAGATGATTGACGAAATTATAAATTCCACCAGACGTCAATAGTGGAAACCCAAATAAAAGTGCCCGATTTCAGCAAGCACGAAGTTCTAAAACTATAAATCGACCAAAAGAAGCCCTCGAAGAGAGAATTCTTGCACCTATTGCAAAGAAGAGATTGTATAGTTAGTAGGTACCCGAACATTTGTACTGGAAAAAAATGCAACATGCTTTTTGCAATACGTGCTCCGAAACAAATTAAAGAGCTCCAAGAAAATAATAAACAAAGTTTTGGTGATTGCCAAAGATAAGGCCACACAAAGTTAATTTTTCGTTTTACCGTCGACCCATTTTTCAATTTTTCGAAAATTTTTTTTTTTTAAGTTCTCAATTGTTTTATTTTTGGCATTTAATTTTTTCCCATAAATTAATCCGGCATCACCTGATAGAGACCTTATTTTTCCGGAATTGTCCGATAGAACTGATAAAAAAAAATCGATTGCCGGCCCAATTTTCTAATTCCATGTTATGCAAAGCGAAAAATTAACTATACGTGGCCTTAAATATGAACATGATTATTGTATATTAAAAAAAAAAAATCCGACCGACCGACCATTAATTTTGAAATCCATGTAATGCGAAACGAAAAATTAACTTTACGTAGCCTAAACAGATTCCCGAGGCCCTAGCGTTTGTATTAGAAAAGGCGGTTATAAAGGATGGAAACGAAATAGTATACTTACTACTTCGCGTTGTCACCAATCCTAGAACATTCTGACCAAAGTCATAGAAACCAAATAGAAATAGTAATGAAAAAGCAAAAAAAAAGACCAACGATAACTGAAACATTTGACCTTCACTACGTTCCGAAGCCAACAGAAGAATTGAATAAATCGAGGAATAAAGTATTGAACAATTGGAAGCGATGTGTTTGGCCTTGAAGGTGTCTTAGAAAACTTAATTGATAACTATCTCGAAGTTTTTTGAAAGTGCGTAATGTCGGAAGAAAAACTGTCTTCAGTGTACTAATAAAAAAAGTTTTCTTGTAAATTTCGGTATAAGTAAAATACTCAAATCCTAACATAATAGAAAATAATATAACAGTGTGAAATTTTACTTGATTCGATGAGTGTACTAAAAAAAAGCAGAAGATCGTGAGCTAGATCGATAATAACCAGTATATTAAATGCACATGTTTTTCGAACCGCATATTTTAGCGGGCAATTCACATCCTGAGGCTCCTACTTGCTTCTCTTCGCAGCATTGCTTGCATCATCGTTTCTCGTTTACAAATTACGAAGTTTTAAAGGCCTGGGCACCCGAAACTGAAAGGACCAAAAAATACTAAACCTGAATACGACCTAACAATGGATAATGAAACAAGTGAAGATTGTGAAAGTAAAATCGAAAAGGATTTTAAAAGGATACCTACCAGACATTCAAAAATCATCGGGAATGGGAAATTCTGAAGACATCTTTCGCTTCTGTATCGATAATAGTTACAGCCGTGAGTATGGAAATTAATTTACAAGAGCATATCATTTTCTAAGAAAGGCGCATAGCTAGTTCCTCTTTACCGGAACGGAACTAGCAGACCTTAGAATCCACCTCTTATATTAAAATTAACTCCCACAGCAAGGTGTGCACATATCCATTCCTCTTCCTCTAATTCTTTGTTGCTACTGTATTTGTTGTCCTCGTCGTTTGTCATTCTTACCTGTCCGTTCCCCGTTTCTCTTCTAATCTTTTGTTGTCCTTGGTTATTCGTATTTGTTGTCCTCGTCGTGCCGCTATCTTACCGTTCTTACCTATTGTCGTCTCGCGCCATGTGTACACACATGCTATTCTCGTTAGAAAGTGAAACTACTAACCTATAATTAACGACGTTAAATCCTGGTCGTTTCTTTACCGTGGATGGCTAACTTCAACTCGTATCTGTATTATAATAGTTATAGCCGTGAATATAAATTAATTTACAAGAGTATATCATTTTCTAAGAAAGGTGCATAGCTAGTTTCTTTTTACTGGAATGGAACTAGCAGACCTTAGAATCCACCTCTTATATTAAATTAACCTCTCATAGCAAGGTGTGCACATATCCATTCCTCATCCCTCTTCTAATTATCGCTTCGTTGTGTTGTCGCTTTGCTGTTCTTGCCGCCATTGTTGCTCTTGTCGTCCTTGCCGTCCTTGCCATCCTTGTTGCTCTTGTCATCCTTGTTCTTGTCGTCCTTGCCGTCTTTGTTGATCGTCTCGTTCCACGTGCACACACATGCTATGACTCGTTAGATTCTCACGTTGTAAAGTGAAAATTACTAACCTGCGATAGCACTTTGGGTATTTTTGAGAGTGTCTTGAAACAAAGTGCAAAAAAAAAACAAAATCAATAAGAACTATTGAAGTCTGTTTTTAATAATGCAAAAAAAAATGAGCTACGCGTTTATTGATGATCTAAATAGGAATTTTGGGTCATGTGAATTTCGACGCCTTGAATTAATGTCTACCAATCAAAAATTAAGAAAATAAACATTACCAAAGAACATTCGAAAATACAAAAAAAAAACGCAATTTACATGCTAAATCGCTTTCTACGTCCTAATCAAAAAAATTTCTTGAAAAATATTGATCTAAAACATACCTTTAATAATATATCTTATTCGATTGTTTTGATTTTTAGGTACGAATCGAATAGATTGGAAATCACATATGGTATTATATTTGGAACATTCGATCTAATTTGGGTATGTGAGAAATGTGTAATATCACTAGCGCTGGACATATTTGGATCTGGTTTTATTTTTCATATGTTAAACCCGGTTTTAATCGGGTTTAAACATATGAAAAAATAAAACCTACTTTAAATTATAACATTAGCCATTTCGTGACATCCGATCCGATACAAATGGTTAGGAAATTGCATTAAGGACGTAGAAAGCATTTGATATATGTTGAAAAAAAAAATTGTTATTCATAATTTTCATATTACTTGATTCGGAGCGTCGGAACATAACCCGACATTATCTTGAACCCGGTTTTGTTTTTAATATGATAAAATTTGTCTAATCAGTTTTAACACATGATAAATCAATTCCAATTTAATTATTTCACAATTTTGTTACAGTATAAGAGAGGTTACAATTCTAAAAAAACAGGGGCTTAAGATAATAAACTTCTTATCACAAATAAGGGTCAGGAAGCCTTTTTGTCTCCGATTACTGTGATTAGATATTCGTGACATCTCGATCGATAATATAGTATCTTATGTATAGTACGTATGACTTTAAACCTTCATTTAAATTTTATTGTAATAAATTTATTCAAATAATATTGTTACTGTTTATTACAAGTGTGTTTATATGAATAATTAATAATGTTTTAATAAAAAATGTAATTAAAAATTGATATAGTATTACAAGTATGTGAGTGAAGAATTGAAAAAAGTTTTAGCCAGTTCATGTAAAAATTGGTTTATTGTAAAATGTAAAATCGCCCAAAAGTAAAAAAATGTTATGCGAATTTTATCAATAAAGGAAAAAGAAAAGAGTGGACGATATTTGTTAAATGAAATAATAAATGCGTGATAAACAGAAAAATGGGATCTAGAAACATGATGAAAAGAGCAAATATTAATGTGATGATAAAATTTTGTTAAATGTCTCTAATTTACATAGTAAGCTACAACAAATTTATAAAAGCGATTAAAATGGTAAAACGTCAACAAGTTTAAAAAGTCATATCCATTCAAGAGCAGAACTACATTCTCTTCCCCAACCAGATTCATTATCAAAGGTTATCGGAGGATCTTCATCATAATATATTGGAGGTGACATATCTTTTAACGAATTGAGTTCACGCCACCTCCAAAATTTTCCTTCTAATTCAACAATAGCAGCCGCGCGTTGTTTCTTATCTGGAATATCTTGTTCAATATCATGAAGTCGAAGATCAAATAATAATTCGGTATTATCTCTTATACACTTTTCACAATATTCAGCCAAATATGGAGCGGTAATTTCAGTATTTTGACACCATTCCCATATTTCAACAATATTTTGCGGTAAGACCAAACGATCTTGAATTATTTGATGTTGAACAGATAGTGCAAGATCGTTAAGTTCATATAATTGTGCATATTTCAATAATTCAATATAACGATTGAAATAAAAAGATATTTCATCTTCATCAGGACCTGGTTCATATCTAATTTCATTCATAATGTCACTAAGATCTTTTCCATATAAGTATTTAAGAAGAACACGAAACGCGTCAGGATGTATATCATCGACTCGAGGAAGAAATACATGTTCACCAAGTTTGGATTCCAATGTACCAGCACAAAATGCCCTTTCAAAGTGAGGACAAGTTGCAGCTAATAAGAAACGGGATGTACCTATTAACTCATCACGAATATTAAAAAAAATATCGTGAAATCGTTCCAAACCAGTATTTGAGTGACTAAAATTTTGAGAATTTCGAGTAACATCAAGATCCACATATTTACAAAATCTGTTAACGATATAATCTCGTCTTAATGCTGTATGTGGAACATCAAAATTTGTTGGAGTTGCTGGATTAAAATTATAAGCACCACATAATTGTAATAAATTACAATATGAAGACAAATTTTTACTTGCAGCTTTCTTATAACAATCTACATCGATATCTATATTTAAAACCAAATTCGTTGCAGAAGTCCAATTTTTCAAATCGAAAGGATCATCTCCGTTAAGAAATATTGTAGAATTTTTTTGAAGACTTGATTTTAAATCTCCAATAAACCATTGTTCACCAATTTCACCTATACGTTTCATTAATAGTAAATTATCTTCTAACCATTCATAAAGTCCATTAATAATAGTAAAAAGAAGTTCTGGAGCACCATGTCCTTTCCATTCATCCGATTGTTTATCTACAATATTTTCCTTAATAGCAGTTAAATGACCCATTACATCATGAAAGAATAATTCACCAAGATCAATATGAATATTTAATACACTTTCAGGAGGAATTACAGGATCATCGTAAAAAGCACATTGAGTCCAACATAATTTCATGTGTTTAGGTAAACGAAGAGAATTAAAAGAACAAAGTTTAGGAGTCTTGAATCTTGCCGTTTCAAGATAAGGATAATCCACAGGTTTTGATGGGATAAAATTAATGGATTTGAGAACATCCCATCTATTACAAGTGAAATTTAGATCATCAACGTTATAATAAAAGTGAAGAACTAACATTCGAGCTCGATCAAATAAATCGGAAGGAGGAGAAGGTGAATTATATAAATGTTGAATTTCCAAAGCCAATCGAATGAAAGTATCATCATCTACTCTATCATGAAAGCCCAAACCAACAAGACCTTTAGATAACCAACCACAACGAAGTTCAGGAGCAATAAATACATCAGAACCAGCAAATACAGCATTGAATAGAAGAACTCTATCATCATATAGTTCTCTAGCAAATCTTAATTCAGTTTTTGTACTATTAGGAATGAAACGATATTCAGATAACCAGTTTGGATGTAATTGAGGAGGAAGCCGTAAGAATTCCTTTAAAAATTCCAGATATTCAGGATCATCAGGTCGAATACAGTCGAGATTCTTGAAAATACAAAATAGATAGTGAATATAACTTGATTCAACAACATCTAATCTTTTCAATAAAATTTTTTCATCAGGATTCTTATAATTAATATAATTAGTTTTTGAACTTGATAAATTAGCTTGGAAATAAGGAAGACCATGCGGAACTAGACAACCGCAATAAGCCGCGATGTAACTACCATCAGCGGAATAAGTAGGCCAAATAGGTAATTGACGTAAGATATCCTTAACACTTGCGTCGATAAATCGGTCTAGACAAAAGATAAAATTTTTAAATTTTTAATATAACGATAACAGGAAAAAACAATAAATAAATAAATAGATAATACCTTTCCGATATATATCGCAGAAATTTGTGACAATATATTCCCGAAGATTATCTTTTTCATCATCACATATATGTTGTTGAAATAAAGAATCTATGCTAATTTTATTGATAGAACAAGATTTATCTATAGCTTTAATAACCATTGAAAGATTCCAATCCCAAATAAATATTTTCATAGTATCAATTCGAGATTCTTCAGTGAAAAGAATACCAAGCTTTTTCAAGACATCTGTTACATTATCTTTTCTCTTGGGAAATCTTAATATAGGAAGATCGTTTTTTACAGAGATAAGTTCATAAATATGATGATTATTATAAGTAGTAGTAATAATTGGAATAAGAGGATAATTTCCAAGTAATTTTAAATCTTGATTAACAAATTGAGAAATTCTTTCCCAAAGATTTTCAAGCCAACGTCTATTCAAAAAAGTGGTAGTTGTATCAGGATCCCAGTCACGAATTGGAGCATGAGGGAGTTCATGTCGAAAAAGACAATAAAAACCATTAAGATCCAATTTTTTAATCTTGTTTGCTGATTGAAATTCAGAAGATTCAAAAATAGATTTAATGTCATCAGGTAATTCTTCGGTAATCAAGACAAAGCAACCAACGGTTGGAAAAAATTGTAAATCTGAAGGGTGAGCCAAATAATATTGTTGAGTACCAAAAGCTGAATAAGAGATGCTATTCACTGGTACGAGAGGTACACCAGTTAATTCTGTAAAGGCGTTATCACGAAGAACAAATCTTAAAAGAAGTATGATGTAAGCGTTTCTATCAGCCAAGGAACGACAATTGGGAGGAAGGTGTAATTCTTTATTTCGAATGATGTCGCGTACAATTTTCGGAGTAACGAAATTTGAAAATTCTATTGAAGAAGATTTTTCGATGCGATATCCGTAGAGATCAAGGAAGTCAGCAATCCAATAGTCATCGGGGTCTTTCATTGCCAAGGAGAAATCATTTTTGATCACCGAGAAATTTTGCGTGAATAATTCGTCAAAATCTTGTAACGACATTTGACAGGTTTAAAGAATTTCTTAAAGAATTTTTTTTAAGTATTTTTAGTATTTTAGCAATAAAAAAATTAAAAAATTGAAGCAATTGGGGATTCTTTTTAAATTTAAAAACGACGGGATTTTATACTCTATAATCAGTCAGCAGAGTGAATAAGTGTGACAAAACAGTCAAAACGAAATAAATTATCGGTCACTCAGAATTCAGAAATTTATAAAGAGCATGATATCATTTCGAACCATTTCGGTGTAATTTAAAACAACAATTTACCACTCTTAATCACACTTGATCATTAATCATTACTACTCAATCATAATTATTCTTTGACACTCTATTATGACACTCAATCAGTCACAAAGTATAAACTTTAAATTATTATAATAATGATTTTAGTTTTTCGGCCTTTAAAATTTTATCTGTAATGAAGCAAAAATATGATAGATTTGTTATTATTAGTCATCAAAAGCCGTCACTTTTTTTAATGATTCATAATCAATACGTGTCATCATAAGCATTTAAGTATAAAAATTCTAATGCAATCAAATCTTTATAATTATCACGATTATCATGACTATTGTGACTAATTATTACTAATCAAAAATTTTCAATTTTTTTCTTAAAAACGCATGCATTTAAAAGTTTCGGTATATCTGATCTTCAATGCTATTGTATCGCATGAATTCATTATTTATAACGTATATACATACATACGTACATACATACGTTACGTACGAAATCGAACTATCGTCATCAGCGGGTATTTTTTTGGTTAAGCCTCTTATTTAATCTATTCATAAATTAATTAATTGTAGTTATAAATGTATTAGTACATTATATATTATTATTACGTGTAAATAGACATTCTACGTAGTGCTAGCGTATCGTGTGTTACGTAAGTTTTCTTAACAGTTAAATGATAATTAAACACGTAACTCGATATCGATATACGTACGTATTTATACGCATCCAACTTTTATAGAAAATCACTGTCACATTAATTATATAATATAATATCGAAATATATTGTTATTTTTTTTCATGCAAATCACTGAATCGCGTTTTTATAATTCTCGTGATTTTTTTTTTACAAGAAATAATTTTTTGCTTTGAATATGCCGATTTCTAGTAAAACCCAGCATCTTATCAATTATTATACGAACTCCTATTTTATACTATATAGTTTTACTTGGTTTTTTAATATATATATATATATATATATCATTTCGTTGAACCGGGGTTAAATCACCACCCAAAAAAATTTCAGATCGATGCTTATTAATAAAATTTCATAAAAAAATTTTATATATAGATGCCAATTTTTTAGCTGCAGTGTAACATGATTAGCCAATAAAAATACAGAAAAGGTTAGTATAAATTTAATAATAAATTTTAAAATTTTGTTAATAAATTTAAACTTTTTTATGTTTTTTTATATATAAACGCCAAATTTTTAAACTATATATAACTTTAAATTGATATAAATTTCTTAAAATAAAAGATACTAAAAAATTTTTTGTGGATTTGATAGTTTAATCAAAAAGCTATTAAATATGCAAAAACTTTTTTTTAGTTTATTTTAATTTAAAAAAATTATAAAAGTTTAAAAATTTTATAGTTAAAAATTGATGGCTTTAGGTAAAAGCGAAAGTATATTTGATCTTTTGAATGTGAATAATGTAAATCACATGATCTGAAATTTTTTGGTGGCAATTTAACTCCGGTTTAGCTGCGGCTAATTTTTTTTAACTTGTAATCGATATTTCTTAACATGCTTCTATTCAAATTTAATAAATTTTTTTTTTTTTATATTTTAATCCTTCAAACTAACAGAATCAAAAAAAAAAAAAATTTCATTAGATGGGTGTTGGTTTAAAATCCAATAATGCATAGATCGGCGAAATCGTTAAATTCACTAGCGAAGATTAGTACCCAAAAATTTATTCATCTCACATACAAACTACATTTTTCCAAGAATTTTTGCATCAAGCAATTGATATAATATATTAAAAAGAAATTGCAGTTTATATTTTTTAAAGGTTAAATTAGTAAGCACTTTCTGTAATATATATTCAAGCTAAGAATTTATCTTGTAAAAGAAAATTTTAAACTACATATTAAACTCGTTGGAGGATAATAGTTAGTACGCGAGATGAAACAATTTTTAGAATACTAGACACCACTAGTAACTTTGCCGATTTATGCACTATACTAAACATACGTATATACAATAGATCGTGTTCCCAATTTTTGGTAATCCGTTTAATATAATATATATAACATGGTAAAACCACCATAATCGTTATGCTCTCAGCTTAATACTGAATCATTTAAAAGGAAACTTTCGGAATTGCGGATAAAGCAATTTAATTGGCTAACCCATTTCAATTATTGGATATATACCCTGTGTACGTATTATACGTACGTACTGGTATGCTCTTTTTATTAGCTGTCAGTGTATTCTAGGGTCAATATTATGTGACCTGCAAATCTTCTGATTTACAATAAACATTTTTATAATCAAATCATATGAACATCCGCGACAAGCTGTATGTTAGTGTATGAATCAGAACAAAAAATGTAATCGATTAATTAGTTAGTTGAATATATTGAAAAATCGATTACAAATCGATTATTGTTAACTAATCGATTAATTGATTAGTTGATTAAAATTAATCGATTAACGTTAATATAAAAATAATTAATCGATTTTCTATTCATACCACTAAGCTATATGTAATGTATTTTCTCTTTTCCTATCGATTTTACTTGTAGCAAATTACGATTGGGTTGGGAAAGCCTATTATGATTTCCAGAACACAGCCTCTCATTATATTTCCAGAACACAGCTTCTCATCATATTTCCAGAACACAGCTTCTTATCATATTTCCAGAACACAGCCTCTCATCATATTTCCAGAACACAGCCTCTCATCATCAACATCTACATCTTTTTTGCCCTCAACAAAAACTTCTTCATCGATAAACACGGAACAGAGCTTTTTTCCGAATGGAGATATACCTTTGCAAGCTAATGAAACCATAGACACTTTCAGCATATTATAGCTGTACGATATCCACTTCGCAATACCGAACAATAAACTTACATATATCACCTATGGATATAGTATAAAGATTAATGAGTCCGAGGACGAAAAAGAATCGTTCATACGAAAAATATAGTTTATAGAGAAATTTTTAATTAGAATTTTTTATTATAAAAAAATTTAGTATAAAATTTTTTTTCTCTTTATTTTTATTAAAAGGATAAAGAACTGGAAACCCATTGTGGTCACAATTTGCGAAAATTAACCAGACTTCATGGGATTCTATGGTGTTATTTGACAAGTTTATTGAACATTTTGCAAGAAAAAGCGATTTCTATTGAACATTTTGCAAGAGAAAGTGATTTTCTATTGAACATTTTGCAAGAGAAAACGGGTTTCACTGTTTTTCGCTCTGTTTCTTATTGATTTTACTTTTCATATATGAATGATTCTGAGTACCGGAAAATTAAGAAAAAAAATTACTTTTATAAAAATATACAACTTGTACGTATTTTATTAATAAAAATTATATCTTATTATATATTTTGTTAAGATTACTATTAATATATATCAGATATATTAATGCATAGCATTATGAGTCCGAAACTTATTCCGCTTCGTCCCAGATAATTGATTTTATTACTCTATCTTTAACGTTAACGTTAAAGGATACATTTATTAATTATATTTAGTTATTATATTATATTAATATTATAATTTAACAGTTTTGTCATATAAATTTTGAGCTTGTAATAAATTTTCCGTCAAATATTTGACTCTGTGTTCTTTTAAAGGATGATACCTAAAAGTATCACTAACATGTCTTATTCCACGACCTTCTTCATCATGTGATGATTTTGGTATCTGAACTTGTTCCAATGAATTTTTATTTATTTCTTCTAAAGATACCATTAATTCCCATAATTCTATAGCTTTCGCAGGATCATATCCTGCTCGTGCCATAATTTCTTGACCTAATAAATCAGCTTCTTTTTCTAATTTTTGAGAATGTTGTTGTAAAAAAAGGATTGGCCTTCCTTGAAACCCTTCTTTATTTAAACCAGGAATTATGTTTCCAATCATTTCACCTAATTGTGTTAATACTTTTATTATAAAAGACATTCCGTAAAATTCGCTTGCATGATTTTGTAAAATATGAGCAATTTCGTGAGCAACTACAGCAGCAAGAAGACTTTCATCATAATCAATCAATTTTAACCAACATGATGTCAAAGTTATAGCAGAACATGGATATGATACACCATCTAAAAATTCTTCGTTATCTATAAGGTAAACGGTTGGTTCTTTAATTCCATTATTTCGATCATCCTCACTAATTCCATGTTGCCATAATCGATGACAAACTTGTTTAAACATTTGTGTTCTTGGATCATCTGAAGGTATTAATGTTTCTGAACCTATTACCATTTCAACATTTTCTTGTGCCTTCTGTACTAGTTTTTGCTCTTCCCATGGCCATAATATCATGAATCGATGTCTATTTGTATTTGGAGCTATATCAAATGTTGATAAGAAAGGGATTGGAGTCAAAATTAATGCCGAAGCAAATAATTTAGAAATTTTATTTCGAGTTGAAGGTAAGAGATATTTTGTTGTTGCAAATCTCAATAATAAAAGATAAGGAATGCTTAAAGGAATTGTAAATAAAATTGTTGGAAGGATTGGTACGACAGCGGCTTGCGCTGAACTATGAAAAGAATGAAATTTTATATTGTCCAACGATTTGGATGTAATGAACGATTTATTATATTTATTATTATGTAATAAATATCTTGTCTTAAAATATTGACCATTTCGTTGTTTTATAATAATATTTTTATGATCATGATGGATTGAATTATTCAAGTATCTAACAATGTTATTACCACCGAAATTATTAAATGTTCGTTTTGAAAAAATTGATCTTGATAATAAATTTATTTTCCACATGATTTTTAAATTAAGTCAAAAAAATAAAAGGAATTTTGTTTACTCTTTTTATACTTTTTTTTTTCGAGGTACACTGATTTCATCTTATTATTAATAATTATCAACGGATATCTGCGAGCATCCTTGAATCGGCGAAATACGCACTTAAACTTAACTCGGATTGGTAATTTATTTCTTTTTCCTTATTAGGATATCCTTTGCTCATAATTAAATCACTTATTTTGTAACAAAATTAAAAGATCCACCCGAATGCAGGAATGACTCATTGTACATGTAATACAGAAAAAAAAAATGACAGGTCTCATTATTTATGTTTGCGTTATCTTTTAACACCTCGCATTTTGACAGGCATATCTTTTTTTTCTGTAGTGTAACTTGTAACTACACTACACATCGTTGTAACATCGTTGTGATTATTTTGGCAAATCTCTCCAAAAAAAAACTTGCCATTGAAGATTTCATTGAAAATGTCACCACTAACATTCATTCACACGAGGTGGTATGGATTATATATACATACATTTAATAAATGCACTGATTAATTACGTAATACTTTTTATATTTATTCACTTTATTAACACAACTATAATGAATAACTTATTTAAACGAATACACTGCTTAATAAATTATCTAACTAGGCCATTGTTGAAATTTAAAAATATAGTGTAAAAGTAAAAATTCCACATACCAGTACATTCTAGGTTCACAGTACATTATTTTAAAGTATTTATTTAATAAAGTAAATATGGTATGTAATAACAACTGCTAAACGATTATTGAAGGCAAACATAATCGACCCGATAGTGGATCAAAACATTATTAAGATGTATTTAGATTGTGATCGAATCTTTTATTTACTAATTTATATCCATATTACAATATCGATTTTTTACCCACTACGTATAATATGTATATATATATAAAACTACCTTTATAATTTATCTGTCATGTTAATATTGAAAAAATATGCTAGTTATTTTTTACTGTATTTTATTTTTATAGTAACTTTACTTTTGTTAATTTAGTTAAAAAAATATATGCTTATTATCATTTTGCTTAGAACAAACTATTCAATTTATATATTAATATTTTATTTATGCGAAAAATAGTTTACAATAAGCTTGTTAATTTAACTATATAGTAAGTTTTAATTTAATTGATGTTAAAATTGGTTTGATAAATAAACTATTAAACCAAACTTGATAAATTTTTTTTATTTTAACTATAACTAAATAGAATTAAAATAAAAAATTTTTATCAAGTTTGGTTTAATAATTGTTGAGATATTTTAATTTAAAGTCTAAAAAAAATTTACTTAGAAACAATTTGCCTGGTTTCTACTGACACCCCCATATATATTTATTATTAAAATATTTAAAGAGAAATTGAACATAAACAAAAACGAAGTATTTAGAAGAGAGATATATATATATATTATATTATTATATTTAAAATACAAATAGGTGTTCAAATTCACAATTATACTGTAAGTCATTATATATCGTTTGACAGTTACTACTATTATATATATTTAAACATATTAAGTAATGAGACTCTAAAATGATGTAACCTGAAATTTTGTTTTTTAAGCTTTATACGTATGTAGAATTTTTTTAGCATTACTGTATTAGTTTTAGATCAAAATAAATAATTATATATAAATAAAACTGCAAAAATCATTTTAGTAAAAAATGTAAATTTCAAAATAGTTTGTGATGTCATTATTTGATGATGAATTCCAATGAAAAAATAAGGTTAAGCATATTCGAATTGATTTCTACTAATCTAAAAATCATTTTATTTTAAGTAATAAAAATTTATACACATATAGGTATTGTATGTACCAAGTTGATGCGCTAAAGCGGCTTTATTCTTCGATTGCCAGTTTTATTAGCGCAAAAAAAAAATTTAATCAAGATTTTTTATCGATGATACGTACGTACGTACAACCAATGACTTTTCTTATAAATCTTAATATTTTTCATAAAAAGCCATTGAATTATTTATTAAATTGCATATTTAATTTGAAAATTATGATTGATCACTATCAATATCTTCTATGCGTTTTGGATAATTCAATCATTATCGATACAGTACTGCAGTAGAAACGAATTACAATCTGTAATTAGAAAATCCCATCGCTATCCAGCCACTATGGCGCATCAATTGTAGAAAATTAAATCAGCCACATCTCAAGTCCAGTCAGGGATGAAAATTATGCCGTAAAGTCTAAGTAGACATTTACTTAATTACGTACGGCCAATCACATAAAAATCCATATTCGGGTTTTACTATCGTTAAGACGTTACAATTGATGTTGTCACCCCATTGTCATGTGAAAAATTTAATAATCGATAACGATAATTCGAAAACTACAATTTTCCACTAAAGATATCTTCGGTTGCTAAAATTATTATTATTATTATTATTATTATTATAGAATATGTCTTTCGTACCTTTTACTTTACAAACTCTGGTAAATGACATAGCTCTTGATGACAGCCAACAGTTAAATCCTCAAAACCAAGGAAATGCAGGAAATAGACTTGGGTCAAGAATTGCAAATGGGATTGGATGGGGAAATAATAAGGATAGCAAAGTAACTGTCGAATCTGTAGAAGCTTGGGGTATGTTAGATATGTTTATTCTTATAACGTAAAAAAGAAAAAAGTGTACAACTAACAAATATTTTATTTATTTTATTTTATAGAAAATAATTTATACTTGGGCACTTCAGACGGTCAATTTCTTCATTATTTATATGATCAAATATCATCCGAAGATGTTTGTATTTGTATTATTACTTTTATATAAAATCTTTAATTATAATAATGTTTTAAATAAAAATCTTTTTTTATAAACAATTCGATTTAATTATTTCTTATAATAATAATAATAGAATGCATTAAATAGTATGATTCTAACCAAAAGATCTCTTGGTTACGGGAAAAACGTCGTTCAACGCATTACACTTTTCCCACAAATCGGCAAAGCCATTATTTTTTGTGGCAAGTTATTGCATATTTTTAAATTATATAATTCTTATAAATTTATTAATTATTAATTATTAATGAAATTGAAATGCTACTATTATTTAATATAATTTTATTGAATTATTCAGACACTACTCTGTCTTTTTATTCTCTTCCTGAAATGAATCTTTTACCACCACAAAGTTTCCCTCCAATAAAGGGTGTTACTTGTTATTGTTATGACATTTCTAGAGAAGGGAAAACTGATTCAGATGGTGTTGTTAGATTTTGTGCAATTAAGAGAAGAATGATATGTATTTATTCGTTAGGCGATTGGTTGAGTGAAGAAATGGTAACTTATCTAATTTTATTATTATCAATATTTTTTTATTACTTTATATCCATAAAAAAAAAAAAAAATTTTTAAAAAATTTCATTTTTTTGGTTGGCTTTAATAGCAAATACCATTACCCGATGGTGCAATCACTGCTTGTCAATATGGCCCTTATGTATTTGCTGCTGATCATAATCAATATAAGATGATTAATTTGCACGAGAAACGTATGATACCTATTCAGCAATACACGAATGGAAGCTCGGGTTCGAGTTCGGAGCTTATCAAACATTTCAAACCAATAATAACAATTATTTCTGAGAATGAATTTCTGCTAGCTTTACCCTCCTATTCTGGTCATATCCTTGCTTATTTCATAAATTTCTTATCATAATGATTTTATATTTCAATTATAATATAATATTGGATTCCTTAATTCCACTAATTATTACAGATGACAATAGGTCAATTTATGTCATTCGGTTGTGAACCAGTCAGAGGGATTCTAGAATGGCAGAGTTTTCCAAGAGCAATTGGTATCTGTTTTTATATCAATCTATTTATAATTAATATTCAATGAAAATATTTACTTATTAATTTTACTTTAATTTTACTTATAGGTGTTGATTATCCTTATACTGTTGCGTTGCTTCGTGATAATGTTATTCAAATTCATAATATTATTGATCAGCAACTTGTTCAACACGTTCCTTTAACACCACAAACTAAAACAATATCCGCTGGACCTGGAATTAAAGTACGAATTTCTGATTTGATGGATAGGTTAAAATTGGTGAATGTATTTTCGGAAATTAATAACGATGGAGAGCAATCTTCTCAATCCGGAGGTGATATAGAAAATGATCAATCCAGTCTTTTCTCTAACGTTCCCACACGGCTTATATTGGCTGGTAGTGAAAGTATTATGGCTTTAGTGACAACCCCTTTGGTCGTTCAGGTGTTTATCCTAGATTTGGCTTAAGTATAACCATTTATTGTATGGTATTCTTTTTTTATTATATTAAATTTGTGTAATTATTCTTTTAATAGGTTGATACGATATTGGACTCGAACCATGTTGAACGTGTTGAAGAGGCTTTAGACTCTGCAAATCAAGCGATAAGTACTGCGATTCCTGAAAATGTTCATAGTAAAAGAATGGTAAGTCATTATTCTATTGGTTATTAACGATAATTATACTGTATATAGATTATTTTAATAATTTAATTGTTATAGCATCATGAATTCAATTATATCCATCAAAAATCTGGACTTATCTATTTTGGAGCGACATATTTTGACCCAGCTTTCGGGTTGTTTGAAAAAGGAAAAATTGATCCACGAATTTTAATTCGTCTATTTACTGATTTAAAAGATATAGTTTGTGAAGATGAACCTGTTTATATTTATTCTGGCGTTAAGACAATTTTTGATCGTTTAGGAAGTATTGATAATATAGGTAATAAATATATACTATATATTTTATTAATGATCACCATTAAAATTATATACTTTTGAAAATTCTATAGTTTCAAAAAGTCTTGAAAAAATTTATGATCCACAGATGGTGCCGGATCTTAATAATAATCCTGCTGCTCAGGAACTTCGTCAAACTCTTTTCTCAAATTCAAAAGAAATGATACAAAAATTTTTAATGAAAGATCGAGAACAACGTAGAACAACCGGACGGGCTTTATCAAAGAAAGATAAAGCTATATTACGAGTAAGAGTAAACATATATATATATATATATTAAATTTTTTTTGCTTATGTTCGTTCCCGATTTTTTGATTACTATAACAATAGGCCGTAGATAATTCACTTCTTCGGTTATATATAGAAAGTAATTCTGATGATTTATTAACAAGCTTATTAGAGAGCGACAATGAATGCATTTTAGATCTTTGCGAAAAACCACTGAAAGACGCCAAAGTAATTAATTTTATAGTTTTTCTTTTCGTTTATACATTTTGAATATATGGTTATTTAACATATAAGATCATACAATCAATACGACTATATTAGAAAATTTATCATTTGGCCCTTCTTTATAAAGAGAAAAAAGAATATGCTAAAGCTTTGGAAGTTTGGCATAGGTAAGCATTAAAATATGAAATCAAAATATGAAATCAAAATAAGCTATTATTATTGTTTGATATTAATAATGAATAATTTTTTCCAGCATTATTGAACAAGAAAATCCTGAAAATGATTTAGCTGACGGCTTACATCATATAGTAGAGTTACTTGGAAAATGTGATGATCCAGACTTACTGTGGAAATATGCAAAATGGGTAATCCAAAAAGATGAAATTATGGGCGCCAAGGTCAAATATTTTCAATTTTCTTATTATTGTATAGCTTTTAACATTATTTTTAAACTAAAACTATGTATTAATTTATATAGATATTCACTCAAATGGATCCAAAAAAACCCATGATTGTTGAACCTAGTATAGTTTTATCCGAATTGAGGTCAGTCGGAAAAAGTGGCTTAAGGATATTTTTGGAGTATTTGGTAACTCCACGTAAAAGTCAGGTTAGACATAATCTTTTCTAAGTTCTGTAAATCATATATTTATAAAAATTAATTCAGGTTATGTGCATTCTTTATAGGAAGAATCATATCATACGGAACTTGCACTTCTATATATACAAGAAATTATGAAAGAATTACTCAATGAAGAAATAAGGTTGAAATTCGAAGAAACAAGTATTGTATCGTATATAATAAATTATATATATTTTTTCTCGATTAAATTTATATTTAATAATAATTTTTATATTTCAGATAATCAATTCATGTGGTCGTCGGAAACTTCCGGGCTAACATATTTGACGTTCTTGAATCAACATGCTGACGATTCATTATCAAATGCTCGGGCTAAATTTATAATTTTCCTTCAAACTTCAAATAAATTTAATGCAGAAGAAATTTTAGTGAAACTGAAAGAGGCTGAGATATTGAAAGCAGAACTTGCTGTTGTATATGGAAAGGTATTTGATGTTTTTATTTCTTTAACAATCATTCAAACAGTTTAAAATTTTATTAAATGTTTTTTGTTTTATTCGATTTAAAGTTAGGTCAACATGAAAACGCTTTACACGTTTTAATTCATGATTTGAAGGATTATCGTGGTGCCGAAATTTATTGTCTTAATGCGGGTCGTATAATTGGCATAGCTCGCAAAACTTCTAAAAAACATGTTGAAAAGAAAATTGCTGATGAGAAAACCCTCATTTCAAGTAGAAAGGATCTGTTTTTGACGTTGTTGAAAGTTTATCTTAATATATACAAGGAGTAATTATCTATGAAAGCTACAATGCTTTAGTTGTTATTGTATTTAATTTTAATATTTATAATCTTTGATCGTATTTTTAGTACAGGTGAATTGCTAGAAAAAATCATTCACTTATTAAATACACAAGCTGTGTATATGGATATTACGGTGGTATGTAAACATTCTCATTCAATTTAAGATTGACTTATTTGCTTTTAAGGTGCGCCAATATATTCCTTCATGATACATAGGTTTTGAACCTTCTTCCTGAATCTTGGTCAGTTGAGTTATTGAATGAGTTTTTGGTTCGTTCTCTAAGACAAACTTACCATGAATATAGAGAAGATCAAATTCTTAAGGGGCTTTGTCTAGGTGAAAAAGTAATGGTAAGCAATAATATCTTTTTTTAATTACCATAGCAGATTGATTTAATTTTATGCACTACAATTGAATTAAATTTTTTTTTTTTTAAAAAAAAAAAAAATAGATAGAGATTGAATTACATAAAACTTATCAAGAAATCGGACCATCTTGTATTACACAGAATGTTACATGTTCATTATGTTCAAGACATATTAGTGGATCTAGTTTCAAGAAGCTACTGAATAATGATATTGTACATGAAAATTGCAACATTGATCAAAACGAAAATATTGATTCTGTAGATCCATTAAGATCATATGTAATTTAATTAATTGTTTCTCATTACCCGACCGGGTCAGCTTTTATAAAATTTTAATCCAAAATTTTGAGTTACTTATTATGAATGCTTCCGGGTGAGCTTTTGATATATATATATAATATATATATTTTCTATATAAAAAACATAAAGTTTTTTAATTAGAAATTAAAAGCCGGCCGGGTGGGTCTATGTGTTATGAAAAACAATTAATTAAATTTATGTGGCCTAAGTGTATGTTATTTTAAAATGTTAAGTTTTACTATAGTAGTGTATATATAAAAATTTGTGTGAATAATTAGAGTAATCTTTGGTGTACATATATATATATTGTTATAATAAATGATTAATTTATGATAAAAAAAAAGTTTTTACAGTACCTATTTTAACCAATGATGTAACCATTCTTATTTAAATTTAGGGTTAGGGTGCAGTTTAGGTTATTTTTTTCTTATGTTTGATAAGTTCCTAAACAGGACCCCATTTTACTAATCCGCAAGATTATATTATGTGAAACATAGTGATTAAAAAAAAGTTACCAATTTATACAATGATTATTAATCATAAACGTTAAAGTGATAATCATAGTGATTAAAAAAAATAGGGTCCTGTTTAGGGACTTATCAAACACCCGGTATATTAGGTCAGTTCTCATGAGGTTTATGGGGTCCTGGACATTTTTACTTAGAGTACCCGATCCAGTTTACCGTAATTTTAAAAAAATGTTTTTTAGCAAATCAAAATACATAGACAGACTCAACCTTAAGTATATAACGATAAAGGACCTGACAAACCTATACTTGCCCAATTTTATTATGTTTGGGATTGAGATTGGGATTTGGGACAATTTTACTATGTTTGGTTTTGGGTGGGATTTTGGGAAGTTGTAGTTTGGGCGGCATGTATAGACAACCCTGGATATAGCACCCTTGTGACGTAATCAGGGGCAAGTTAGAAATAGTCAAAAAAAAAATAATAAATCGTTTCTTAAAAATTAAGGTTAAATGTATTGATATTATGCTACGTACTAGTTGCGGTGTCTAGACATTTCTAGGTGCTCATCTTAGAAACGCGTCCAGGCAACATTTTTTTCGTATAATTAACCTAGGGGTATTAACGGAGTGCTCCAGTGATGTAGAGCATACTCTGCCAGAGTAACGTCCACACTGGAGTACACCACTACAGAACAAACCCGTAATTAAGCTCTGGAGTTTTATTCTTCTACAACCCAGAGTATAAATAAGAGCGTATTTTAAAGTATAATCTGGTGTACAATCCAGTGTACAAGCTAAAATTTAAATGTATAGATCCAATTATTGCCCATCTACCTGACTGTCGCCCCATTGTGTAAGTGATTTTCTTAGCCAAAAATTCGGCATAGTTATACTCGCTAAAAATCGTTGTGTACAATCGCGACAATCAGGTGATTGTATAGGTGTGCGGCAGTATACAAATTTTGATCTTGATAGTCTGATTTCTTGGTGTCACGTTTAGAGGTAAGTGTTCTCAAAAAAATACAATTTTTTGCTTTAAGTGACCTCATGACAAAATCATTGTTCTTGATCCACCTGACTAAGGTGAAATTAGCTGAGGGTACAAGCATAAATTATTGTCTAATTACAAACATAGTGTAGTGATGATCACTAATTAAAATTTTGCAGATCTACGTTCTTTAATTCCTCCCGTAATTTTTTAATTTTATAAAAGCAAGATGTATATCGTAACAACGTCAAATTTTTATTTTACTAATCGTGGCTTGTCGGGATATCTACTATCATACGATTTACAAACATAATGCAGGCCACACAGTAAATCGTTGGCCAGGCTTTTTTTAATAAAAAATTTACCGTAAATTCAATAGCTCTCGAAAAAATAAACATGCAAAATAAATTTATACTTGCTGAAGCCTTCTTATCATGCTCTTTAAATTAATAACGCCTTTTTTTTTATTTTGTTTAAGCGTCATTAGATTTAATAATTAATTTTCACCTTATTTAAAATAAAAAAAAGCCTGTGCCAACGATTTATTATGTGGCCTGCATTGTGTTTGTAATTAGGCAGATTATGCAGGATGGATGTTTGTGGGTTATTAAGAAATATAGCATAGTTGGTATACGATTCATAAGGTACATTTATTACAGAACTACTATATCACTTACTCTCTTTATTGGTTTGGGCGTCATATTTATATATTTTAAGTTCCAAGGGTTTGAACACCAAACTTTGGGCCTTAGACCCGTATACAAGGTTCGAACCCAAATCTAAGATCTCAAACCTCGATCAAGAGTCTCAAATCCAGATCTAGTTTCGAACCCATGCACAGCCATTTAGAAAATTGCTCGATGAAAGGTTTTTCATCAATTGTCAGGCGCTATTAATGAATGAAAATTCATTGTGCCACATCAAAGATATATATATATATTTTTAAAGTTCCAATTGTGTCAATTGTCACCCGATGATGACTTTATATTAACTTTCATCTTTTCCTAGATCGCCACCAAAATTTTCACCGGCACGTGATTATGTGTAAATTCTTAAGTTTATTTAGGTTGCCTATGCTAGGGTTAGGGTTAGAAGAACTTTAATAGTAAAATCGCTCAAGGAAAACTTTTTGTTAATGGTTTACTATACAATTTTTCGAGAAATAAACGATTTTTGACGAAACGAACGTTTGTTTTGAATTTTCCTGCTACACCTGATCTTGCGATCTAACTTTCCAGAATTACATGTAGGTCTGATAAAAAAATTTCAAATTTTCTGATTCCATGTTATGCAAAACAAATTAATTTTTGCGTGACCTTAAATGTAATTTGACCTGCCGATTTATACGCAACGTAACATCAGTGAAATTGATAATTTTATGTTCTTATAAACATATTAATGTTCTTAGTGATAAAAAAAAAAAAAAAAAAGAGAAATTATATATTTTCTATATATCATATAAGAACATAAATTATAAATTTTATGTTCTTAGTTGGTTCTCAAAAGAGAACATAATTTTTAAATATAATGTTCTCAAATTTTTTTAAATGTTCTTGAGACACTGTGAACATTAGATATCTAACACTGCTCCAGACTATAATAAAACATATAACCCACCCCTGGAATGCTCTGTATTTTTTTATTATTATCTGGAGAATTCCAATAACAACCCTATTCATAAGTAATCCTCTGAAAGTAAAAACTTTTATTAATCGTTAGATAACTCGCGATGTAATCTAGATCTTTAATATCGTAATCCTAATCACTCGAAGCCATTCATTCTTAAGATTTTGTTAAGTTTTTTAATCGGGTCAGCTGTGACCAAGCTTCTATAACAATAGTCAACCATGTACGCACAGTACGCCAAATAGGCTAATCAGGAACCTTGTGATGTCAAATAACTTAATTGTATATCAACCTGAAAAAACAAATAGCTCATGGTAAAAAGAAATCATAGAATGTTTTTAATGAACTTGTTAAAGAATTATATAATCTGTATAATGAATAAATATCAAAAGACAAAAATACAGAACAGATAATTAACACATTGGATCGATTTTTAACAAAAAGAAACAAATCCAGATGATATGATCAAATGGTGCTTAGAAAATCAAATTATTCTATTTCACAATTATTATTGCAAGTTGTTATCGTTTTAGTGATGGATTGAAAAGGATGAACATAAGGTATTTATTTATTGTTAAAAATCTGTTGATTTAATCTTTGCTGAAGGAATATCTGTGTTGGTGTTTGCTATACAAAAGGAATTGGTGTTAATAGAGATGGAAATTTTTGCATTAATTTATTATCAAAAAGCTACCATATGGGCCATACTATTGGAATATATAATGTTGGTTATCGCTAGATTTGGGAAGTGGTATTAATAAAAATGAGCGCAGGGTGTTTGATTATTATAAAAATCTGCAGATATGGGTAATGCGCTTGGAATGAATAATATTATAGTTATGAAAAAATGAATTGGAGTTGAAAAAGATGAACATAAAGCATTTATTTATTGGCAAAAATCTGCCGATACGAGTAATAACCTCGCGATAAACAATTTTGGTTATTTTTTGGAAGAGGAACTGATGTTGAAAAAGATGAAGATATGGCATTGTTAAAATCAAGCTACATCATTCACCTCGATGAGATAATTGATATCTCATAATCGGAATTGTGTGATTCTTTCAATATTCAGCTAGGGATGTTAAACCGTTAAAAACTTTATCAGTTATAAACTGGCAGTTGACTACATGAACCGGTTTAACTAGTTACATAAAACTGTTTATAAAATTTATATGAAGTTGTTAAATTGAAACTGGTTAGCTATAATTATTAAACTATTTTGATTGGCTGATAATTAAAAATAATTTTATACATGATAGCATTTTGATTAAATGCATAAATTATATAACGGTTACGACGTGATAAACCAACTGGTTTTGGCTTAGACGATAAAGGTTTGAGTCCCGAACAGAGTCAATATATTTTCATCCTAACAACTTAACATCTCTGGATTCAGCTCTTCTCATCGAAAAGTTAGAACTATTGTTTTTAATCGCAAAAAAGTGTAAACATGCTTGGTCACTCTTGGACTCGGCCCTAGACATCAAAAATGTACAGCCCTGCCGATTAGGATATATCACTATATATAATTAATATTAAGGTGAGGAAGATCGGTTATATGCATTATCAGTATAGATCAATGATCCCAAAAAAAATTTTTTTTTGAGGTTTTAATATTGATTTATTAATATACCGTTATAATTTGGTACCCGGATTCTACTAGGGTGCGATATCAACTAAATACAGTAATCAAAACTATGTTAACTATATTGATCAATTTACTATGATCAAATTTTTATTAGCGAAGATTATAAAAAAAATGCGAATTTCTAAAAGATTCAGACAAAGATTGTACTTATTTTTCGAGTTTCTTTTGAATGAAGTATATACATTAGATCTATCTCAAAGGTTCTATGTAAGCTCTAAGTAAAATTCAACTTATGGTTCTAGAAGAGTTTTTTTTTTTTTACTCTAATAAATTTAAAATGCTCAAAATTTATATATTGGTAAAAAAGTTTCAAACATAGCTTTATTCTTCAGCATTTTGTGAAAATTTCAAAGTAATTTGATGCTTTGACAAAAAGTTGATCGTTTTGAAATTTTTATGTCGATATTAGCAATCATTATATTATATTACATTAAATTATATTGATATAAAAAATTGGTAACCTAAAAAATCTGTGATATAAAACATGTCATAGTTAGCTAACATAATTTTTATTAGTTAGTTGATGTCGCACTCTAGGAATTTACTGTAAATAGGCACCACCTCTCTATCCCATTTTTTTTAAAAAATATCAGATTAATGGAATAACTTGCTAAAGATTTTCATTGCAATTTCTGCTAATGTGACATTTAAAAAAGTGGTAGAATTGGATG